AAAGAATTTATTTCAAATCTGCTTACGACTGCGGTAAAACTCAGGTTTTCCAAAAGGCAATACACGAAGTTCAGCCAACCCCCAAGGACCAGAGACACAGTGTCTGCAATTCAAAAAATACAAACGCTTGGGATACCAATACAAAATTAGAAAAGCGTTGCCTACCTCCCCCCACTTCCCCCCTCCGTGCTTCCAGTGGAACGTGAACACCGACGGGACCAAGAGCTGCCGCCAAATGCCGACAGCTCGCAACAGAAAGCGGGTGCGGTGGGGGAGGGGTGGGGGAGGGAGAGGGCGGGGCAAACACAGACAGGGAGACGCAGGTTCTGTTGACAGCCGAAACAAGGACACAAAGCTTTCTGTTACTCTTAAAATTCCTTTGCCAACGTTAGACACACATCTCTCATGCTTGATACAACAGCTTAGTGTGAAAGCAGCAATTCTACGTCATGCATTTCACGTTTTCTGCTTTGCTCACTCTGCACTTCCTGTTGGTGCTGAGCAACCCCGGGGTCTGGGCCGTCGGGCCACCAGGTGAGGAGTCGGAAAAGCCCTCCTCAGGCTGCAGCCTCCCCCAGGAAGCATCCGCCACGCTCCTGCGTCCACAGCCGCAAGCAGTCACTTTTCCACACCTGAAGCCTGTCTTGGACTCTCCTCAGAGGCTTCCTGAGGGCCTGGCCTGGGGACCAGCGCCCACCTTGCTGGCCCGAGAGTCCCCTGGGTCTCCCGGGACCCGGCCAGGCAGCCCCCGCCCTGTGGGAGCCGCGCCCTTTGAGAGAAGGCGATGCCTCCCGCGGCATAGAGGTTTGCCTGGACTCTCAGCTCCCACCTCCTGACTCAAGTCGGCATGGTTCATCGCGAAAGCCAGGAGCCCCCCCTTGCCAGGTAGTGCAAGGGAGTCCCAGCCTGTGATGACAGCAGCCCCTCTGCCTAACCCGCCTTCCACACTTAGACGCTGGTTTTCAAAGCCGCTCCCTCTGCTGAGATCTTTGGAAACAGAGGAGACACATCATCGGCTTGGAGACCCCTTAGATACTAGAACTAAGATAACCAAGGAGGCAGGAAGGCGGTCACTCTCCTTCCATGTTTCAAGGGGGTTTCTGCCTGCAGACGCCTTTGGGAACACTGACGCGTAGCCTGCTGACGGCTCTTCTGCTCTGACAGTGGGAACAGCTGCTGTGTTGCCCTCTTTGCTCACGTGAAGCCGGTTTTGCCCCCTCGCGGCCAGGCAGCTGTGTAGTCAGCACGTGCTCCTGGTCGCAAGAGGCTTGGATGGAAGACACTGGTCAGAGAAACCTTGGGAAAGTCGCCGCACGTCCTCTGAATGTGAGCTGTTAGCCTGGACCTCCATAGATGAAATGCGCCGCTTTCTTCTCTAAGGAGCGTTATCCTGTGTTCCTCACAGCACACCAGACGAGGTAGGTTAGTGTGGCCGCTCCCACGTTCAGGCGGGGAGACTGAGGCACGGAAACACTGAAGAGATTTGGCCGCACCGGTACCAGGTTCAAGGAGAGGCGTTTCTGGGGCTGAGCCTGGTCTCCTGCCCCAAACCTACTCTTCACTGTCTTACAGTCCATTTAAAGCTAGAGCCGTGGACCAAGGAACGTGACCAATGAATAGCTCCTGGCTCACTTGCAAAAGAAAAGCCGAGATTTCCCAGGATCCGCAGAGGCCTTGAATAGCTTTTTGATGATACCTGATTAGATTTCTTTGACCAGCTGAAGGCCACACCCCTCCGAAGAAGTTCCTGTTGCTTCCAGTCAAAAGTGGAAGGCAAAAAGTGGGCAGGCAAAAACACGGGTAAGGAGTTTTGCTTTCTAGGCATGGGGGTGGGTTGGGGACATTTGGGGAGTACAGAGTGAGACCTGACGGATTGGCTTCTGTGAGAGGCTCCCCTCCTTTTACCGACCTGCCCCATCTGGCAGGACACTGCAGACCTGGGAAAGCCTGCTCGTGGGTGCCAAGGTGAAGCCCGCAGCCTCGCGGTACAGGCTTTCCGGGGACCACAGCATGGACGCCTCACGCATCACTGTACGTATGGACACGTGACAGACTGCCAGCATAACCCGGTGGTTCTCAGCCAGGGAGTCTGCAGACGCTTCTACCTGTCACAACTAATTTGGGGCGCTACTGGCATCTAGTGAGTCAGGGACGCTTCTCAACGTCCTGTAGTGCACAGGGCAGGGTCCCACAACAGAGAAATATCCCTCCCGCTCTCGCTCTCGCCCACCGTGCCGAATGTCAGTAGTGCTGAGGCTGAGAACTCCTGGCATCGCCCAGGGTCTCGTGATAGTGTTTTTCAGCATTCACAGGCTGAGTGCCCTGGGGCTGTATCCACCCTCCCGACCTCACAGCCAGCAGGCGCCCTGGGACCAGCGGCAGCTTCCTGTACAAGCGGCCTGCTCACCTGCTCTGAAACCCGCCTTCTCAGGGGACCAAGCCTTTCAGTTGCAACTAGAATTAAGGCTTAAAAGCAAATATCCCTGGAAGAAGTACACATAGATCCTGCATCCTGGTCCTTTCCTGAGAGTGCTCTGGTAGGCAGAGGGCAGGGGCACCAGAGACGGGGCAGTCCTGGGTGCTAAGAGCAAGGAGGATGGGCCTGTCCCCATGGCTCTCTGAACCCCTGTTCTGCCCAGGCTTGCGCTGTACGCATGACCCTCTCCAGTGTCGGTGGGCCACAGGGCGCCTGAGGTTGCTGTCGAAACTACAGATACGTACGTATAGGGCTGAAGACTCAGCCTATAACTATCTACAGTTTTATAGTTTTTAGGTGAGTCCCTTCGTGGGTCAGGATGACTGATGCCCACTTTAATTGGAATCGTTATTTTCCCAAACAGGACAGAGGGGGAAGCCGGGCTGTGTGTAATGTCTTACCTTGCTTTGAATTAGGAGCTAGGATGCTATGCAGTGAAATGCTACTGGACAATTTTTAAAGAGATTAATTCTAAAAGGAAAGGCATACACTTGGACCAAACTGGCTCACTAGCAAAGAACAAACTGCAGAACTACGTTGCTTGGGGGGGGGGGGGCGTTATTTACAATATAATGGAACTTGACACTTTAAATTACTTTGAATTCCTTTCTCACCGAAACTGCTTGATAGACGAATACCAAGTTATCCGTCAGCCAGCCCGACCAAAACATCATCTTGATATCGTTTTTTATGTACAAACATGTCACCGCATTGTAAAGGAACAGGGAATTTGATGGCAGATGAGAAGCCCGTGACCTGTCGCTTCTACTCTGAATCCCAGGCTTCTCGAGAGGGTGACCCAAGGCCATGAGTTGTTGACGAGTCCCTTGTTCAGTCTGCTGGTTCCTCAAGAACACGGGTGTGCCGCATGGACCTGCCTTCTCCCCGAGGTCCGTTCTGGTTCCTAGAAGGTGTTTTGTGCTGAGGACAGGAGAGGTGGCTGTAGGACAGCCTGACGCGGTCCCCAGTATCCGCCGTATTGCTTCTGGGCCCCTGGAGGAGTTGGGAAAGGCACGTGCTCACAGGCTCCCCACTCACAGCCCCTCTGGCCGCCGCGGCCGTAGGGAGAGAGTCCCGGTGGCTTCTCTCTGAGCCACAGGTCATGTTCTCCCTAAAGAGGCTTCCCTTCTCCCTTTCCCATCTCCCTCTGACCGAGGTGCTGGCTCTCCGAAGGCTGGTACTAAGTCCAGGCTGATGCCCAGGAGCTCCTCCCCGAAGACTCAGGGCCAGGGCCGCATGGTCACACGGCTTCCATGATCCTGGGAGCTCCCCAGCCTTTCACCCAGACTCCACCGAAAAGAGCCAATTCCACCGGCCCGGCCCGCCTCGGGACCGACGAGCTCATCTTTCCCAAAAGACACATCCCAAAGCCGACGCCTCTGGCCCTGCCGGCCACGGCTCCCTTGGCCCCGGGAAGGCTGTGCCTCCTCTGGTTCCTCCAACCTTCAGGAACCTTCCATACCCTCCAAGCCGAGGCTGCCGGGGCCGTGGCCCAGGAGTGAGACGGAAGGGCAGTGGAAGCGGAGACGGGGCAGGCGGCCGGGGCACCGGGCCGTGCGCATCACCTGCTGGGCTCCGGCCGGGGCTTCGGGGTGGGATGCGGGAGTGCCCTGGGAGCCACCCGCCGGACGACGAGGACGGGGCAAGACCTCGACTCCACCGAGCAGGTGGTTGCCAGGGCCTGGGCGGCGGGGGCTTGAACACAGCACCAGGCGGCTCCTGCAGACGCGGGGCAGCCGGCCTCGCAGGCCACCCCCCGTCTGGGAGCGGGAGCTTGAGGTAGGATTGTCGGATCTGCTGAATAGAGGGTAGGATTTGCACAGCACTGGCCGGGCTGACTCAGAAAGCAAGTGCAGCGTCTAAACTAGCAGGTAGAAGTGAGTGAACTGAGTAAACACAGTTGGTGCCGGTTTCCGGGCTAAGTTTTATAAAAATCCAATCCAGCAAATAGACAAGTTACCCCTCGACCTCAAAAAGAATGCTTGATAAAATATATTCTTTTAAAAAGGAGAGAGAACGGCGTACTACCAGTTGGTGATGGAGGCGGTGGAGGTCAAGGAAGAAGAGACCCGGGAGGAGGGGGAGGGGCTCCGGGGCCAGGACGGCGGCCGGCTCCGGGCTCAGACCCTGCAGCGGGCTGCGGACTCAAGGGAGAAGGTTGGTGTTCCCAGCAGGCAGGGGAGGGCTCACCCCAGAGCCGCGCCCTGGCCACGTGGACTCCGCACACCCGGGCTGGCGGGCAAGCAGGGAGACCAGGAACATGACGTCATCTGTTTCCTGCCTCCTGCAGAGTCCTGCCCGCCCCGTCAGGGCAGAGCCTCCCCTGCCATCGGGGCCACCTTTTGCTCTCATGATGCGCTCACGTTGACAGTAGATGGTCTCAAAGTGAAGGTGGACTGAGTATAAGAGACTTCCCCAGGGACTCCCATCTCATACGCTCATGAGTCTGAGAGCCTCCGAGCTCGGAAGAGTTAACAGGTTTGCAGCGAACGTCGTGGGAAGCCAGCTCCCGAAAAAGAGAACTGAGTGAATTGTAGCAGACTGGTGTGTGTGTGTGTGTGTGTGTGTGTGTGTGTGTGTGTGTGTGTGTGTGTGTGTGTGTGTGTGTAAGAGAGAGAGGTTGGTGGACTAATGAAGGATCTAAGGAAACTATTTTAAAAAGTCCTCAACAGTTCAACGAGAGCGGCAAAGATCATGATGAATGATTAACATCCCTCTCTATCCATCCTGGATTAGGTCTGCAAGTGGCATAACGTACTGAAGACTCCAGAACCGAAAAGCTAAAGGATAACAACGTTTCCTGGCAGAGATGGGAACCTGCACCCTTGGTTCTCTGAAGGAGCGGAGTCCAGCAAAGACTTGACACTGAGGCCACGAGATTCCCGAGCGCCCCCCGCCGCCTCCTGCTCTCAGGATTCACGTCTCAGAGCCTGCTCTCCTCTTGCCCCCCAAAAAGACAAGCTTCTAAATTGGAAGGCAGGAAACAAAATGAAACCCCGAACGCTTCCTTGCTCCCTTGAGAAAGGTCCCTCTTCGTATTTGTAATGGCCGGTGGAACAAGGGGAAACACACTCCCGTGTTCACCACTGACTGGGGCCTCCGTGCGCACAGCCTGCAGATCGTTCTCCGTCCCCCAAAGAAAGCGGGTCTCTGAGATGCTCCGTGGCTGCTGGGCTGCACCCAGGATGTGGCTGTGCTGCCCTCGGGGTTATGTGAGTGCAGTGAGGGGCAGCCGTGCAGAGCAGGGCCTGGGAGGCTAGTTGCCCGGCACCTTTGGCCGCCCCAGGTTGGTTGGCACTTCCAATCCCGTGTGCAGGGTGACCTGGAAAAGAAGATGCGGTGAGCGAGGGCGGGAGCTGCCGCCCGTGAACCCTGAGCGCAGACAGCTCAGCAGCTGTGCCGCCCTCTGCCCCGGGATCCCCACGGGCGGCAGCCCGCCTCCTCTGTGCTGTGGAGTCAGCTGTTTATCAGGCTCGTCCTCACTGACATCAGGCCCGGGAGTCTGCCCCAGGAGCTGGTCGTTGCCTCTTTCACGCCGCCCCCGCTGCCAGGAGCCCCGGCAAGGCTGATGCTCTCTTACAGTCGGGGGACTGGGGCTCCGGGTTTACATGCGTTTCTGCTTTCTTTCCATGGCCCTCTTTCCTCTCCTACATCTGTTCTATGAACCCTGTGGAAGAACAGCCCATATTTCAGGCTGCCTCAAAGCCCTCTTGCAAGGACTGGAGGTACAAATCAATCAGTAGGTGACAATATTCAGGGTCAGTAGGCACCGCGAAGCAAGCCTCTGCCCCCCACCCCATATACCTCCTGGGGGGAGGAGCAGTGTGCCGGGAACAAAGGCTGGCACCCTGCTCCACGCTGCTCTCCAAGCTTCCCTCACCCCCTCACCGGGCTCCCATTTTGCCTCTGGGTGTGTCGGGCCTCCTGGGCCGGCGGTACCCCCGCAGCCCCCAGGACTGGGCCTGGCCCTGAGGGGCTGCCTGCTTCACGCAGGAGCCAGAGGGACAGGGAGGGTGAGAGGGAACCCTTAGGAGAGGTCCCGCCTCAGTTCGGTCTCTCCTCTCGGGGGAAAGCCACGTGGAGGTCCGGCACACCCCGGGCCATCGGGGCCCACGCCGGGCAGGGGCACCGACCTTCCTCTCTCCCAGAACATGGAAGCAGGACTTGCCTCCCTCCTTCACCCTCCCTGGCCCTCTCCACCCTGCCTGTCGCCCGCCCCCTTCACACCCCGCCCCGAAGCGGCCACCTAGAGCCTCTACTCCTTTCAAGCGGACAAGCAAGAAAACATCACGCCGGAGAGGAGCGTCTCCAGGGGATGCCCAGGTGGACCGGTGGGTAAGCTCCCTGCCTGGACGGCACCGCGGGCGGCTTCTTTAGAGCCCCCTTTGCCCGGCGCACTTTGGAGGCCCACGGGCAGCGGGGCCGGGGGCGGCAGACGGGCCCTGGCCTGGAGGGTGCGCGGTACCTGCACGTTGCGGTTGAGGCTGAGGGCCGGCATGAAGACCCCGTCCACGTGGCTGAAGGCCGTAGGGCCCTGCTGCTGCCCGTTGATGAAGAAGGTCAGGGTGTGCTCGTTCAGGTCCAGTAGCACGCCCACGGTGGCCCCCTTGCACACGCCGCCTTCCGTCCTGGGAAGAGGAGCCCGGCACATAGGTGAGGACGGGAGGATCCCCGAAAGGATGCTGTGGGTACCCTCGCCTAAAAACACAGCCCCCGCGGCGGGGCAGGGCGCTGGCCATCCCACGGTGACCCGTGGCGGGGCACAGGGCGTGCGTCGTGACGCTCCTGACACCTGCTGCGAGGCTCCATTTCGTGGTGGCTGGGATTCGCCTCCACCGGGCGGGGCCGGTCCTTAGGCGGGCAGCACCGGGGCGGGCGGGCCGAGGCCGTCGGACCGTCCCCTCCCTTGGCTGGGGCTGAGGTCGGCCGGCCTTGCCACTGGCTGCTCTGCTCGGATCACCAAACCATCCTTGTCCTTTCCTGACTGGGAATGAGCTGGTCTGCTGGAGGCTGATGGTGGGCTGGGAGCACGGGAAACGGCGAGCAGCGCTCGCTGGGAGTTTTCAGAGGGCAGGTTTCCCGGAGGGCAAGCCGGGCCCCCCAGGGCAGGAGCCCACCGGTGGGGAAGGGAACTGGCAGCGGGCCTGTTGGTGCTGTTCAGATGCTGACCACCAGGTGGCGGTAATGACCCGCCCAAGCGGCAGCCTCCCCCGGGGTCCCCCGGCCCAGCCCGACCGCTCCGCCCCGCCCCTGCCCCCCGGAACTGGAGCCGGCATCCTGAGTTAAACCCTGACACCGCCTCTAATGAGTCCTGTGACTTGAGCATCAACCTTACGCCCCAATCTCATAATATGCAAAATGGCGATCACAGCCGCACTTTCCCAGGGCCCAGATGGAACCGTAGGAGCCAGGGGCTTCCCACAGCATGGGGCACAAAGAAAGCTCCGCACCTGCTCTCTCTTGTTACGCCCGTCCCAGTGTATCTGGGCGCCTGCGTGGCCTAAGCAAGTAGAGACGGAGCTGCTGGGCCCAGACTCGGCCCCTGCGCTGTCTGTGAGCAGGCAGTCCGCAGCGCCCGCGCAGAGCTGCCTCTGGAGAGACGGTCACTGCCAGTGAAAAGGCAGGTGGGAGGGTCCGATCGGCCTCCACCCCCCCCAACCCCGCCCCGAGGATGCTCAGGCAAGTCCCTGCCCCAGACCAGGACCCCTGGGGCCATTTGCAGAGCTGCAGGTGGGCCCAGAGCACCGAGGGCCCCCAGAGCTGACCTTGCCCAGCGCTGGCGTGCAGGGAGGTCGGCCTCTCGGGGCCCCTCGCCTCTGCCCTCTGGGGAGAAGGCCCTCAGCAGACTGGGAAGGAAACCCCACAGCAAGCAGGCAGCTCTGAGGGTCACAACCCTCCACTTGCGGGTTCCTTGGCCAGGGCAGCCCCAGAGGGCCCGTCCGCCCAGCATGGGAGTTTCCCATGTCCATCCTGGTGACACCACTGCCGGGGCCGGGCTCAGGGTGAGGCAGTGCTGGGGGTGCCCGGGACAGAGCCACCAGCAAGGAGCGCCCCAAGGGTGCCGCACCTCCCGCCGGGCTGATTCACAGCCCTGCTGGGCTGACGGGTGTGGAGGAAAGCAGAGGGGAGGGGCGGCGGAACCCAGGCGCGGGGCTCGCTGAGCGGCCTGCACACCCGCTGGCTCTGCTGTGCTCTAGACTCTGTCCGATCCCGCCTCTGCGCTGCGGGCCAGCGCTCGCTTCTCCCTGGAAGCTGGACGCCAAAGTGGCCGAAAACACCGCCCGCCATTCCCGACCCTGGAACGTGGGAACAGCAGGAGGGCTCTCATCCCTCAGCCCCGCGACAGGGAGGCCGGGCGCCCACGCACCTGTTGGTGTGGGAGCTGCAGTGCATGAACCAGCTGCGGTTGCTGTCCACGTACATGGCCCAGGCCTTGTCGTCCTTGCCCAGCATCATGTCCTTGCCCACGCTGGCCCTGGCCACCCCGAAGGCGGGGTCCGGGTGGTTGTCGTAGCGGTCCACGTGCAGCTCCCAGTAATGCACGCCCTTGGAGAAGGCCGCCGTGCCCAGCACCACCCGGTCATCGTAGCTGCTGCAGGTGGCCGTCTGGTTGTCGTTGGATAAAATGATGTCCCGGTGCCCAGAGTTGGGGTCAAACGTGAACCAGGCCACTGCAAAGGAAGGGGCAAGAGGCGCAGGGTGAGTGGCAGCCTGTGACCTGGGCTCGGAGACACAGACCCGCTGGCATCTCTCAGGAAGCGGGCACCCAGTGTCGAATGTTCTTCCCTGTGCGATTCTCACACACACACACACACATACACTCACGTTCCCTCCTCTGTGTTCATCCAAGATCCCAATCCCATGAGCCCAACCTTGCCAAGGAACACAGACAGTCAGGCCCCCAGTCTAAATGCTCTCGTGGAATCTTGGTTTCTAAGCCCCTTCTGCACGCTTCGGGCACTGTTATGAGTGAGGGGGAGTAGATATCCAGACCCCACCTCGTGGGAGGGGGATTTGAGACGCAGAGAGGTGAAGTGAGGTCACCAAAGCCCCAGAGCTCCAGGCTCCGCTTCACAGCCCGCTGGCAGGCGAGGGCCCCCGTGGGCACACAGCTGGTGAACCCATCTGCAGGGGGAAAGCATCATCTGCTCCTGTCCCTGGGAGACAGTCCAGGCTGTCACGTGTTGCCCAGAGGACGTGCTGGGATAAACAATGACACTAAACACAGGGCTGGCACCGTCCTGGGACCCCTACATCATCCCTCGACGCTAAGGACTCAGATGATCAAAATCCCGCGGAAAGCCGACGTGCTCGTTGCCTGAAACCTGAAAGGATGAAGCGCGGTGGGCACGCCTCATATCTGAGCTCTCGCGCTGGGTATTCGAGGGGTAGGTTCCTCCCTGGCAGCCGCGTGCCTTCTCTTCTCTGGGACCGTCCTACCCGCTCTCGGCCCCTCGGAAGTGGGAGTTTAGCCTCCCTGTGCCTCTCAACTCCTAGCTTCCCTTCCCAGCTCCAGCAAATGGGGTGAAGGAGTGTCTCTTTCCTTCGTGGCTGGGGGGCAGGGAGGTGAGGCACATGGAGCCAAGTGAGCGGAGCAGGGGCGGGGCTGGAAGAGACAGACTCGCCTGTTTCCGCCACTCCCTCACGCTCCCTCATGAGCAGCTCACAGATTTCCCTTGTCTGTCTGCCCGTCTGTGTGGGTTGGGCCTGAATCTGTTTCCCCCGAGACACCCCAGGGCTCACCGTCGGACGTCTGCAGGACGACGGTCTTACTGTAGGGCCCGACGCCAGAGGAGTTGAAAGCCTTGACCCTGGCATTGTAGGTGCTGTTGAAGTGAAGGCCGTCGATGGTGCACAGGGTCTCCTTGCCGACGTACACCTCCTGGAAGAGACCCAGACGGCTCGTCAGGCGCCTCCGTTATGTGGAAAATTTCTCTTAGCCGCACGGTGACATCAAGAGTGCTAGCATCCCCGAAGAGTTATTAATAAGGAGATTTTGGACACGTGGTGGCCGAGTCTCAGGCCACGTCCAAGTTGGACACAAACTCTTCCTATTGGCTGATGGGCCCTCTCCTGCGAAGGTATGAGGTGCGGTAGCCGGGATGCTGCCCGAGACCGTCCTGCCTCCGCAGAGGAGAGGCCAGACGGACAGGACTCCGGAGCCCGGGAGTGGGGCTGCTGAAAACCCCACTTCCTTCTCGATTGGAGTAAGAGGGGATTATTGGTTTCCAGTGGGAAATTAAGTTAGAAAAAACATGGGCTAAGCATCTAAATAAAACAGAAGGTATTTGAAAGGGAAGGGTCATCACACATGATGGGAAAAAGCAGATGGAGGAAGGGCGTGGCCAGGCGCAGGTGGTTCAAGTTGATTTGGCCATTTCTGGAGTAAGACGGGCGCTCCACCTCCTTCCCCGCTTCTCCCACTGCTGAGGCTGCCACCTTCCTCCTCCTTTTGGGACTCCTGGAGCTGCTTTTTTCCTGGCCTCCCCAGAGGGTGGGACGTTTCTGCATCGGCTCCCAAAGGTCCTTTTCTAGAACACTTACTTTGTTTCCCGTTTACTTCACACTTACTCTGTCCTATTAACTTCCCCCAAATGCATAGCCTTACACCTCACCTATGGCATTACATCAGCTTAGTCTAAAACGTCTGCTTGATTACTTGGGGTGTTTCTCTTCATTTGTTTTTCCAAGTTACTGATAATAGTAGCTGTGTGCCAGGCGCTGTATAAGGCATCTTTTCAAAAAATGTTTATTTATTTATGTTATTATTATTTTGGCTGCAGCAGGGTCTTAGTTGCGGCACGCAGGATCTTCATTGCGGCCTGCGGACTTCTTAGCTGCGGCATGCATGCAGGATCTAAGGATGGAACCCGGGACCCCTGCACTGGGAGCACGGAGTCTTACCCGCTGGACCACCAGGGAAGTCCCTGTATAAGACATCTTAATCCTCATACAACCCTGGGACATTGCTATTATTTTCATTATTTTATTCACAAAGATACTCAGAGAAGGTAGGCAACTTGCCCAAGATCACAGTTGATCCCGTAGAAGCCAGCGTTCAAATCCAGGTCTGTCTGCATTTAGCGTCCACGCTTTTCCCACTATAACACATGGTTTCTCATAAATTCTAGCCCTCGGGTGGAGCTTTTCTTAGTGGTCATGCTTCAAAGGGGAGAAGCCATCTTCAGTTCAGCCCTGTGGACTGCTTCTTTTATTTTTATTTTTTAAAGATTTATTTATTTATTTTATATTTAGTTTTGGCTGCATTGGGTCTCCGTTGCAGCGCGCGGGCTTTCTCTAGTTGTGGCGAGTGGGGGCTACTCTTCGTTGCGGTGCGCGGGCTTCTCATTGCAGTGGCTTCTCTTATTGTGGGGCACGGGCTCTAGGTGTGCGGACTTCAGTTGTTGTGGCACGCGGGCTCAGGAGTGTGGCTCGCGGGCTCTAGACGGCTTAGTTGCTCCACAGCATGTGGGATCTTCCCATTGGCAGGCGGATCCTTAACCACTGCGCCACCAGGGAAGTCCTGGCTGCTTCTTTTAATATCTCAAACAGTCTCCTCTTTCTTCCCGTTTCGAAACCATAAGCTCTCCTCCCGGTTTCTGGTTAGTCAGGGAGCTCTGTCAGTTCCTAGCTCATTTGCACGACTGGAACGGCTGAGGTTCTGGACCCGGTGTATGACCCACTATTCCTGGCCAAAGCAACCTCAGCTTCTCACTAAAGAGCCCATATCCCCAGGGACTCAATTATTCCCAAGGGAGTACTGCAGTGATTTCCCCAACTCTGAAATTCTTGAAATAAGACAAGACAAGACATAGGCATCAATCCAGTTGAGGGAAACAAAGAGAATATTGACCGTTGGCAAGAGACGTTGAATGGGTGCCACTTCCCAGGAGAAGAAGTGTGAGAATTGTTATGACTGCGCTGGTTTGTTAGAACGAGTCTTTATTTAGTCTCTCGGGGACAGAAAGGTGGAGCTCTCAGCAGACCCCGAGTTTGTACGCCCTGGTGTTCCCGTCAACACAACGACTGGACGGGAGCCTGAACTTCACTGTGTGCCGTCTCGCGGTAGAGATGTGTTAGGGCGCTGGCTTGGGGTGGGGAGCCGTCCAGGTTTGCTACCACGGGCCGAGACTAGAAGACGCACTTGTGACTCGCTAAGCGTATTTACTGTCCACACAGATTTCATCATTTGGGACATGAACGTAGACGGTCACCCCAACCCAACAAATATTTCTCAGGTGTCTTCCCACCTTGCCAGGTGAACTAATCACTGAACTGGGCAAGGCAGGTGTGAAGGAACCTCGAGGGGGTGGGGAGAGGCTTCGGGGTGCTGGGTGGGAGGGTGCTGACCAGATACCAGTGCGCTGCTGGGCCGACTGGGAAGTGGGTACCGCGGGGGACACCTTTTCGGAGCTCTACCTTGGCCTCCAACCTGTGTCAGTCTTCACAGAAAAACCATCCAGAACTTTCTGTGGCCGCCGCCTCTGCCTGCCCAGACCCAGCCCTCGGTAGAGAAGCCCCACATCCCATGAGCCCGGGCCCACTTGCTCTGCGTCCTGGGGGCCGATGCCCTCGCTGGTGGCATCAGAGCTAAGGGCAGCCCCCTGGGCTGGTGCAGAGGCTGGGACAGCGCAAGTTCCCCCCAGCAAGCAGCGGGGCCTCACCCGGAACTGGCCCCCGTCTCCGTCGTCCAGCTCCAGGATGTAGCCGTCCACGGTGCTGTGGGTGAAGGGCGGCGTCCTCCAGGCCAGCGTGACGCTGTTGTTCCGGGTGCAGCACTTCTCCAGCTGCAGCAGGGGCACGGGCGGCACTGTGACGGGGACAGGTGGGCTTTAGCGCACAAACCCCTGCAGGGCACAGGGAGGCCGCGTGGACCCGGCCGCACCCCAGGAGGAAAGGTGGCCACCCTGCGTCCCTCCTGGCTGCTCGTGGGCGCAGCTCAGTGTGCTTCTCAACCCTGGACGGGGGTCCTGGGATCTGGGGCAGGGAGAGGCCTGGCAGGTGCCTCCACCCCTCTGGGTCTGGAGCCCTGAGGAAGAGCTGCCCCTTGCCCACCTGCCCACTAAGAACCACTGGTTTTGGCTCGGCCCCATGAGCAGCTGGTGAGGACTTGCAGCCCGGCCTCTGCGGACCCTCTGCACAGGGCGGCAAGCAGCTCACACCTGGGGCCCGGAAGATGCTCTCGGGGGCGGGAAGGGCAAAGTGCAAAGACCCACTGAGACCTTTGCCTGGAAGCGTTTTAAAGGCCCAGGGAACTAGATCCCGGAAGGAGAGGCCATCTTACAGTATCAGGCAGTCAACCCGTGGAATTAGGGATTTGAGTCAAGTGTATCGTAAGTTCGATTAAGGTGAGACTGGGAGGTGCAAACTGAGTACGGGAGAAAGCACAGAGATGCACAAGAGCCTGGGTGTCTCTGGTTTAAAAATGGCCGTGCATTTTGAAGTAAGGATTTTCCTGAGTTCACAGATTCTGTAGGTGTGGCACTCAGCCCTTGGATATATGGGTCTAAAAAAACCAAAGAGCTTCATTCCCCCTCCTGAATGTACCCTTAACGTCTCTGGAGAGGCAGGGGGACGTCACTTGCTAATTTTGTAACCTGGGGAAAGCTATGCAAACTTTGCTTAACCCTTAGCTCGTGTCCCCCGTGGGTCTCTGAACTCACTGCTACGATCCACCACCTTCTCCCGTCTGCTCTCACCTCTGACCTTCTCGCTCTTCTTGGAACACAGAACACTTATACCTGCCTCGGGGCCTTTGCACTCACCACCCCTCGGCCTTCTGGAATGTTCTTCCCTTACATCTCTTTCCTCCTCACCTCAAAATACCTCCCCCCCCACACCCATGTCTACTAATGCCCCCTTCTCAAAAGGCACCTTGTTTGTCCCACCTGCCACTATCAGTTTACATTACACTACCTGTTGTACTGAATTATCGATGTGTTGTCTATTTCTTTCTCTATCAGCTCCGTCTAGTGAGGGAGTCTGTACACTTGCTCACGGCTGGGTGCTGAGCACCTGGGATGGTGCCCGGCACGTGGTAGACACTCAACAGGTGTCTCTGAATGAACAAATGATCCTCTTTCACAAACGGGAAAAGTTTGGCCCAGGCTGGGTGCTACCCACAGAGGTCACCCAGCTTGAGGGTGGCTGAGCTGGGATCTGAACCCAGGTCTGTGACTCAGGCGTCCCTCCCTCCCACTCTGGGTCACACCAGTGTCCCAAGTCTTCTGAGGGCACTAAGCTGCGCTGCAGAGTGGATGCCTCTTCCAGAAGCAGCATCACCTGAACTGGGCCAACCACGGCTCACCCCTACATTTCATCTGAATGAAGTCCAGCTGGTGGATGGCCTGCAGCAGTGGCCCGCTGTCCAAGGTCAGTTCAAACTCTGCAGACACCTTCGGCTCCAGGGCACCTTTGACCCACTGCTCTTGAGACACCTGGACACGCTTGATCAGGGCGTCCGAGATCTTAAAGGAAGCACAGAGTTTAGGGTTTCCACGTGCAAAGGGAAAATAGCGTAGCAGGGGGTAAGGAAGGGACAGGGACTTTGTGGGCGCAGGGGTCTGCGGTGGTTAAGCACGCCCACTCACGCCCTGGCAGAGATCATCTTTTAACAGCTTAGTCATGTTAAACGTAAAGAAGCACTTGCTGTTTCAGGCTAAACCCTTTTGCGAAGCAAATGATACTTTTTAAAAGAATTCTTTTACTTTATTTATTTATTTTGGCCGCACTGCGCGTCATGCGTGGTCATTCCCAACCAGGGATCAAAACCACGCCCCCTGCAGTGGAAGCGCGGAGTTCTAACCAGCAGACCGCTAGGGAAGTCCAGTACTTTTTTTTTTTTTTTTGCGGTACGCGGGCCCCTCACTGCTGTGGCCTCTCTCGTTGCGGAGCACAGGCTCCGGACGCGCAGGCTCAGCGGCCATGGCTCATGGGCCCAGCCGCTCCGCGGCATGTGGGATCTTCCCGGACTGGGGCACGAACCCGCGTCCCCTGCATTGGCAGGCGGACTCCCAACCACTGCGCCACCAGGGAAGCCCAGTACTTTTAAAATATACAAAAACAGTCTTCACTCTCCCTCTTTTGCTAGATCCAGCACTTTGCAAATTGAAACATACTAGTGGTTTGTCCCAGGGTCTGAAAGCAACTCGTTCATCCCCAGGAGCGTGAAGCTCCCTCCCTCCCACTGTGTTTCCTCCACGTTGTGCTGCAGCTTCTGCTCCAGACTCTCACTGCATCAAACCCACAGCTCTGTTCTCCTCTGCTGGCAAGTCCTGCTCATTCAGACATTTGCACGTGTCCCTGTAGAGCCATGACTCCATGCACCCTTGCTGGGGACCAGTGCAGGAGATTCATCATGTTCCCCAGAGACGGAGGACAGAGCTTCTGTCTGAATCACACACATGATCCCAAGAGGTGTTCGTGACCCCGAGTCAGACTGGCTGCTGGAAGGATGCCCAGCAAGGCTGCACTGGCTTTGCAGGCAGTGGTCACGTGCCCAGACCTGCAGGACTCCGCACCCTGAGGGAACGGGTCACGTGGATTCTTCTGATTCACTTCGTCCTGTGCAATCTTTCCAGCTTGATTGGCAAAGACTGTCTTTTCTCATCTGTGGGGAAAATGTTGAACTGGGGTTTCAAGTCGAGGCACGAAAGCACGGCATTTCAGCCCTAGGGATTATGATGTTTGATCTCCTCATTTAAGGATGACACAGAGCCAGGGTCACAGCTAGTGAGACGCAGAGCTAAGAAGAGAACCTAGGTCTTCTGGAATCGCTGAGCACAGGAGATTCTGCTCAACTCCAAGCTGCTGGGAGGGACCTTCCTAGAACCTCGGCTAGTCTGGGGCATGGCAGTGGATTTGGAGGAACGATGCCCAGCCCGCTCACCTGCAGAAACCCGGATGGGTCGTTCTCCTTGATCACCTCCAGGCAGTACTCCATCAGCCCCGTGGACTGGCGCAGCTTCAGCGTGCAGTGATTGATCTGGTCCCAAACCATCTGCCACGAGAAGTATCCCTAGTAACTGTCTCATTGAGGAACAGCAGCCCGGCTGCAGCGGCAAGCGGCATGGGTCCCGGCTGCCTTGCACCCTCTCCTGCTGCTGCTGTGTTCCTGAGCTCCACGTGCCCTCGTTACGTGGGCGGTAAATGGACCCGCTTCCCAACAAGCAGGGTCGCCACACCCCACAGAGCAACCTTCCTGAACTCTGGCTAGAGAAGCAGAGAACGTGCACCCCCTGAAACCCTCCTAGTGACCGGTGCCCCAGTCTCACGCGTTGGGTGGAAACTCAAGGGGCTCAGCTGCTTTGCATGTAAACCATGGCTCATCCCCAACACACACTCCTTCTTTCCTTGAAAGTAACATTTCCTGATTCAGTTGGGAAATGTCTGTAGAATAGGTCGAGCCCAGACAATGAGGTGAGTAGTTTCTGTCAAGGCAGGGTGTTCACGGGGCACCTGCCTGGGCCGGGGACCCGGTGCCGAGTGGGGGGAAGCCTCCCCCTGCCGCGGTGGCCACTGGCTGTGGTGTCCCTGCTGACCACTGCGAGCACCAGACATCAGAAAGCCCGAAGAAGGGGGAGAGCCGGAGCCTTGTCACCCGCCGTGGCCACCTCTGCTCTGCAAGATGAGAACAGGCAGTGTCCCTTCGACAGAAGACAGGGGCCGGGAGAAGATGGGAGAGAGTGGCCTTCTGACTGAAAACAGCAGGATTCAGGCATCTCCCTCCAGCTTTGGAGGGAGAGCAGGGGTGCTGATTGCTTCAGGGAAAGTGACACGAGTGTAAGTAGGTCCCAGGCCAACTTGCTCAGCCCTTCCTCTCCCCATTCATTCATTCATTCGTTCGTTCATTCATTCATTCGTTCGTTCGTTCATTCATTTATTCATTCGCTCGTTCATTCATTCATTCGTTCATTCATTAATTCGTTCATTCGTTCATTCATTCATTCATTCGTTTGTTCATTCGTTCATTCATTCGTTCGTTCATTCACTCATTCATTCGTTTGTTCACTCAACTAACACTGACCCAGAGCCTACACTGCGTGCTCCCCCGAGCTCGGCTCGGAGGCCATGATGGGACCGAGGGCATCGGCCGCCCGGGGACCCACCTTCAGCTTGTTCTCCCTCTCTTTGGTAATCTTGGTAAGCAGCTTGGCTTTCTGCCGGGTTAGAGCATCAACCAGCGCGTCACACTGAGCCACCAGGCAGGCCTCGTGGTCCAGGCCGTTCTCCTGCGGGATGCACAGAGCTTTAGGGAGAAGACACTTGGAAACGTGGCCAGCACGAGAGACACAGGGGCACACCAGCAAGCTCGTCCCGGGGTGAGCTGTCCCGTTACTGAACTGGAAACAGTGCACGTGTGCGTCTCAGCACATCTATAGGATGGAGGGAATATTCAGTCATCCAAACCATGAGGGTTTGTGAGGGTTTTCAATGCCACGGGAAAAGCTCGTGGGAGAGACCGAAGAAGAAGAGCAGCTGCAAGCGTGTGCAGCGTAACCGCACACTGCACGTGCACGTGCGTGTGTAAAGCAGTGGAGCAACGTGTCAAAACGGCGAGGGCATCACCTCAGGGGCTGAGATATTGGTGAACTTTTCTTACTTCTGTCTGTTATTCTCTACTTTTCAAAATTTCTATAACATACTTTTGCTTTCTCTAATCAGAAAACAGTAAAACAAACAAAACCCACTGTTCTTGCTGTAGGATCTGACTCTCTCAGTTTAAAAAAGAAAAAAAAAAAAACTTTCAACATCACTCAGGTCAGCCTGGATTCAGACCCCGTGTCATGGGCTGGTGGTGTTCTCTCCCACCCCTGCCCCAAGTGCCTATTTGAAGTCCTAACCCCCAGGACCTCAGAATGGGGCTGTGTTTGGAGACAGGGCCTTGAAAGAAGTAAGTTAAATGAGGTCATCAGGCTGGGCCCTGATCCAGTCTGACTGGCGTCCTTACAAGAGGAGATCAGGACACAGACACACACAGAGGGAGGACGGTGTGAGGACACAGGGAGAAGATGGCCATCTGTACACCAAGGAGAGAGGCCCTGGGAGGAGCCATCCCTGCTGACACCTTGATCTTGGACTTCCAGCCTCCAGAACTATGAGAAAATAAGTTACTGTTGTTGAAGCCACTCAATTGATGGTTACAGCTGCCCCACCAAACGGATACCTCCGGTGTCCCTGAAACATCAGAACCAGGACAGGAAATGCCTGGCAGCGGAATTCTGTGCTTTCACTTATTAGGAAGAATGGTTTTTATTGGCTGCTTAGGAATTCAGTGCCCTCAGTCCTTTTTCCCATCCAGACACCGGAATGCTCTACGGTTCGTGATCTGTGGGAAAGTTCCCCCACGCGTGCATTTATTTATACGCTGTCTCCCCGACAGACAGAGCTCCTGGGGACAGAGGCTGCGCCTTACTGATCTGCGTCGGGCTTGCGTGTGACACAGCATGGGTGCTCAGTAAATACATCTGTTTAGTAAATGATGCTTTTATATTTTGATGCGTTGGTACAAAAGCACCGTATACAGATACCGCCTAGGGCTACGTGGCCACGCAGAGTGCTGCATTATTTCTGCCCAGTTCTCTTTCTAGGATTCTCTCTGAGTTCATGCAAAATCCCTTTCCTATCAGATGTCACAGGGGTGTCAGTGGACTGAGTGGGTGATGTCCGCAACATCTGAGGCGTGCAGTGGGACAATTAGGCCTTCTCATGTTCAGCACTGAAAAGCGCCTGCCACGGGGCCTTTCCTCTCCTCTGCTAAACTTCACGTACCTCCTGCAGGGACTCCCCTCCCAGCCGGAGCTATGCTCACCTGGATCTGCTGCAGAATGTTCTTCAGCTGAACTAGAAACTCCTTGGCTTCTTTTGCCTTATCGGAAACTCCATTTAAGGCCTGAGACAGTTGGGCCTAAAAGATATCACAGGTTGAAAAGGAAAATTAGGTGTTAAAGGCACTTGGTCTGCACTTCATCATGAAGGCTTGTGTTTATAAGAGGGTAGAACCCAGGAACCGTCCTCACTTACGAAGGGACCGCTATTGACTCCCGGACTCTATCGCATGTGTTTATTTATCCAGCGATCGTTGATAAAGTGTTGGTTGACCAACACTCTTCTGTCTGGACCCCAAAAGCTGGGTAGAAGAAAGGAGCATTCAGCTAATTGGTTCAGGCTGACAGGACCCAGGACAAGAAGGCAAGTAGAGCCTTGACTGGGTCTGGCCCCCTCCCCACTGTAGCAGTTGTGCCCCCCCCCCATCAGTAGGAACTCAGACGCCTATGTGAGGGAACCCCAGGTCCCAGGCCACGCTCTGCCCACCCCACCCCTGCACAGGCGCCTTTTGGCCTGAGCGGGATGGGCGGGGAAAGGAACTGGAAGTGAGCCTGAGCCATATGGACTGGGGGTCCCAAAACATCACGTGGAAGGGGATGATGGTGGCCTCCTCCTTAGCGCTAGGGACTCCTTACCCTGCCCAGTTGTTAGCCTCAGGCTTCTTTTGAATGAAACACATACACACACCATCGAATTTGTCTTCAAAATCTTGCTATTGAATAGACTGGTGCCCTTGATTTTTAACACGACTCATGTTTCAGAGTAAAAAGCTGAGGGCAGAGCAAAAATGGGGCCAGAAAGGCTGGGTCATACCTGCTCTCCACGTTCTTTTCTTTTTTTAAAAAATTAGAGTATAATAGCTTTACAATGTTGTTTCTGCTGTACAATGAAGTGAATCGGCTGTATGTATACATATATCCCCTCCCTCAGGGACTTCCCTCCCTCCCACCCCGCATCCCACCCGTCTGGGTCATCACAGAGCACAGAGCTGAGCTCCCTGAGCTATACAGCAGGTTCCCACTAGCTATCTGTTTTACACATGGTAGTGTATTTATGTCAAACCTAATCTCCCAATTCGTCCCACCCTCCCCTTCCCCCGGCTGTGTCCACATGTCCGTTCACTATGTCTGCATTTCTATTCCTGCCCTGCAAATAGGTTCATCTGTACCATTTTTCCAGATTCCACATATATGCGTTAATATACAATATTTGTTTTTCTCTTTCTGACTTACCTCACGCTGTATGACAGACTCTAGGTCCATCGACATCTCTACAAATGACCCCATTTTGTTCCTTTTCATGGCTGAGTAATATTCCATTAGGTCTCTGCTCAGATATGATCTGTCAGCGGGGCCTCTTCCTTTGCCCTGCTTTATTCTTCATAATGTTCATCACCACCCAACACAGGTTTGCTTCCTGTCTGTCTCTCCTCCCGAAAATGTAGGCTCCCCAGAACAGGGACCTTGCCTGGTTGCTCACATACAGAAAGAGCACCGTGCCCATGGCAGCATGAAACAAATATTGGTTGAATGACTGAATCAATGAATGTGATTCTTTGGACCATATCCATGGTTTTCCAAGTGTGGTTCTCAGACTGACAGCATCAGCATCATCCAGGAATTTGTTAGAAACGCAAATTCTCCAGCCTCACCCCTGTCTTACTGATCAGAAACTGGGGGTGAAACCCAGGAATCTGTCTTTTAACAAGTTCTCCAGGGGTTTCTGATGCAGTTTGCGATCCGCTGGATGGTACAAACATAGCCACGGAGTGGATGAGGAGACACAGGGAGAAGGAAGGGGCCTCAGACCAGGGTCACCAACGTTCAAGGTGAGGTCAAGGTGAGGTCTGGGCTCTGTCCTGCTGGGAGACAGCTGGGAGCCTCAGGTGTGGCTCAGCAGAAAGGCGGCTTCCGGAGAAGCTCTTCCTTCTTCCACTGGCTTCCCCATGCCCCCCACCTCAGCTGGTGTAGGCCCCTCCCTCCACGGGCACCCGGCGTGGACCACTTTCTACTGCAATTATCCACGCAGGAAGAATATCCAGTCGACCTTACAGGAACAGCAGCGTGTTCTGTGTCTGCTCTAATCCAGCTGCCACCAGCATGGGTGGCTCTGAGCACTTGAAGGTGGCTAATGTAACTGAGGGACTGGATTTAAATTTTATTTAAAGTTTTCAGCCACCACGTTTGGCCAGTGGCTGCTGTTCTGGGCAGCACAGATCTTCTTTTAATTTTAATTTTTTTTTTTTTTTGCGGTACGCGGGCCTCTCACTGCTGTGGCCTCTCCTGTTGCGGAGCACAGGCTCCGGACGCGCAGGCTCAGCGGCCACGGCTCACGGGCCCAGCCGCTCCGCGGCATGTGGGATCTTCTTGGACCGGGGCACGAACCCGCGTCCCCTGCATCGGCAGGCAGACGCTCAACTACTGTGCCACCAGGGAAGCCCTAATTTTTATTTTTAATATTATTTGGCTGCGTTCGGTCTTAGTTGCAGCGCGTGGGCTCAGTTGCCCCGTGGCGTGTGGGATCTTAGTTCCCTGACCAGGGATTGAACCCCCGTCCCCTGCACTGGGAGGCAGATTCTCAACCACTGGACCACCAGGGAAGTCCCTGGGTAGCACAGATCTTTGCACCCGTCCTTAGAGGGGTCTAGGTCCTCGGGCAGCTCAGCCTGTCCCTGATAACCGTGCCCAGCAGGAGCCGGAGAGGCCGGCATCCCTCAGGCCCATCATCAGTGCCCAGAAAAGAGGGGCACCTCCCTCCCCACCACAGTCACCCAGAGCAGAGGGCCCACTGAGGCTGCACCCCTTCCCTCCCCACGGAGGGACCGATTCCCAGGAACCTATACAATCCTTCACGGCGGGGACTTTGTTTTTTGTCTTTGTCTTTCTAGCCAGGCACTGGCACAAAGCAGGGGCTCAAAAACTGCTCACTGGCTGAATACAAAGCAAAGCAATTGCTCCACTAGAAGCGGATGCTAAGCTAAGACAGGTCCCTGCAGATCCATCGCCACGGCGACCACCTTTTCCGGCGAGAGGCTGCATTAGTGAGAGTCCCCTTCCCTTCACCCGGGGAACTGGAGCCAGCGGGGCTCTGTCCCCGCCAGCCCTGGCCTCCCCGCGGCCCGTCCCACCCCAGGGCCTGTGGACCTGCTTCCTGCTTGGCAAGTAGACCCGGGACCTTGGCAAGGAGCCCAGAACAGAGTGATCTTTGAAGGCCTCCGGGGACCTTAGGCAAACGCCCAGCTGAAAGGGGAATGATCTCACAGCTCAGTAGACACGGCTCCAGGCCCACCAGACATGCCCTCTGCTTTCTCTTGACGCCGTCTGGCCCCGGCCCAGCAGGGTGCTCGCCTGCACAGAGACCTGTGCCCGGTCTCCTGGTCTCCGGGAAGAGCCCGGACACCCATGTGAGGTCCGGTCGCCGTCGAGGGATGTCCCGACAAGCACACACTTGACCCTTTCTTGACCCCAGTTCCTTCCTGTGTGATGTGGCCACGAGACACCTCTCCTTGCCCAGGTGACAGCACTGTGGAAACTGGACCTGGTTATTCTAGTGGCAAAGGAGTCAGGGTTTGGGCGGCGAAGGTGGAAACCATTTCTCAAGGGACAAGTGGTTCACTTATTGGCAACGTGTTATGGGTTCACAGCATACCGTATTTGGCTTCAGTGTTTTGAAACATGCTCTTCCTCTTTTCCACAGGGCTACCTTGGGGCCAGCAGGGGACACTGAAAATTGTGTCTTTCTGGTCCGAGAGAAGAGCCTGCCGTCTGAGAAATGAGAATGGATTGCTCTGTCTCTGTGGATGCTGGTTATACTATCTCTTGGAAAGAAAGGAAGTATCCAGACCGAAGATAAATTTTTTAAAATGACTGAATGGATTTTAACTTGAATCAAACATTGTATTTTATGCCTTTTTATTCCTCTAAGGTTAGAACTACATTGCTGCGGAGTCTCTAAGTTTAGACAGACAGCTTAAAAATGTATTTCCAAGTGGGCCAAACCACCTGCTTCCTGGCCTAGCATCACATCTTTGCCTGCATCCCGAAAGAGTAGCTTCTAGGTACATGGGGTAGCTTTCTCCCTTCTCCCTCCCATTCTGGATGGTGTTAGAGGGCCTCATACTGCATTAAGCAAGAGAACTCTGGGCCAGTACAGTCAAATCTTGGCGCTGTCATTCATTAGCTGTGCATCTTGGGAAGATGCTTCATCTCTTTGTTCTATAGGGTCCTCCCCTGTAAGGTGGGAATAACCACCCCTACCTCACACGAGTTCTTACTATTATGCTTAGAAATATAGCCCAAGCTTTCCCGAAATCCTCTCAATTGTTCAACCCATCATATATGGGTTGTTACGGACTGAATGTGTCCTCCCCAAATCCATATGTTGAAGCCTTAACCTGCAGTGTGATGGTATTAGGAGATGGGACCTTTGGGAGGCAATTAGGTCACATAGGTGGAGGCCCCATGATGGGATCAGTGCCCTTAAAGAAAAGACATGGGAGAGCGCTTTCCCCCTCTCCTCCCACTGCACTGAGGAAAGGCCACGTGAGGACACAGTGAGAAGGTGGCTGTCCGCAAAGGCCCGAAGACAGCCTCAGCAGGAACTAAGTTGGCCGGCAGCCGGATCTTGGATGTCCAGCTTTCAGAACCGTGAGAAATAAACCTCTGTTGTTTTGTGGGATTTGCTTATAGCAGCCCAAACAGACCGAGACATGAATTATCTAAATTACCCAACTAGGACCTTTCAGAGATAATTCTCATGTTTGAAACAGACTCTGTGGAGAAGCCCCTAAATTGTCTCCTTTTATTTATTTTAGAAAATTAATTAATTAATCTGTGGCTGCGTTGGGTCTTCATTGCTGCGCACGGGCTTTCTCTAGTTGTGGCGAGCGGGGTCTGCTCTTCGTTGCAGTGAGTGGGCTTCTCACTGCGGTGGCTTCTCTTGTTGTGGAGCACGGGCTCTAGGCACGCGGGCTTCAGTAGTTGCAGCACGTGGGTTCAGTAGTTGTGGCTTGCGGGCTCTAGAGCGCAGGCTCAGTAGTTGTGGCGCACGGGCTTAGTTGCTCCGCGGCATGTGGGATCT